TTAGAAGCCTTCGTCATTGATTTTAAGTCGTTAACATAATTAAAAACACCACATAAGGTTTTTTTTTTAAAAATTATGCAAACTTTGCCACATCACAGTTATCATAGTTTTTTATGCTGAAAAACTTAGATATTAAAGTAAATATTCTTTATCAATAAACATTTGTGAATCTTGCTCTAACCAGCATCTTTCATTTTAAAGACAATATGAATATAATAAAATAACAGCAAGAAATAAAGGTCCAACAAGGAGACATCAAAGTTATAAAGTCTATGGCTATGTTTCAGGTCCCTCTTCCACAGAGATACCTATGAAGAACTATTAGGGAAAGCAATTGTTTTGTATTGATTAAAACACCAGTCTAGTAGCACAGTTCATGGTAGGGATAGTATGTGCATGTTTATATAAAATGTCTGAACACCTCCACTTTAATATAAAGACTACTTTCAACTTAGATTTGATTTACTTAGCTATAGCACACCAAAAATTTTGTTGAAAACAATCAACAGGTACTATAATTTATAAAGCAGACATTTACAATAATGTTGGGTTTCTTAAAACAAAATAGCCCATGAGAGGATGAAATAAATATATGATCTGATTCAAAGTAGACGAAATTGATCCTATATGATACCCTGTATATTTCACTTCAAAGATATAATTTAAACCATATTTGACATAATTATATTCTCCATCAATCCAAAAATGGACACAGGTGCACACATCCACACAAAGACACAATGAGCATGTTTATTACAATAAAAGTCCACAGACTAAAATGCAAAAGAATTGACAAATTGAACTATACTAATGACTTTCTCTTGTAGGGTAAAAGTACCATTTGCTTCAAACTAATAAAAGTACTATAACTTTGCAATTTTCCAACCCAAAGTTACAATTATTCTTATTTATTCAGTATTTTATCAGTGAGCCTTACAAGCAGAAAAAAAAATATTGATTCAGAGGTCCACATCAATATATGTAAGCACTCAAATTATTTCCACAGATATTGTAAAGATAATTTCTTTGACAAATATGCTATTAGCAACTGGCATGGTTTTATGATGGTGTTTTATTAATTGGTTTGGTATTTTGCTTCACTATCTGCAAATTTTCAGCTCCTTCAACTACGAACAGAACATAACAAAATGAAGACAGTAATAATAACAAAACTTTAGACCATGGAGATATATTGCAACTTTAAGTTATATCTGATAGTGGAAAAAAAAAATCTACTAATTGCTCAGTCTACATATCTACCAAACTTTGAATTAAAAAAGAGAGGGGTTTTTTTTTGGGGGGGGTTCCCATAATTCTCTCTTTCTTTCTCTCTCTCTTCCAGTTTTTCAAATGTTTGTGGTTTTTTTTTGTTGTTGTTGTTTTTGTTTTTTTTGTTTTTTTTTTTTTTTTCTGAGACTTAAAGATGTTGGTACCGGGTTCTTGTAAAACCATGTCTTGGGGCGATCTCCTCTTTCTCCTCCAATTTTACACACCAATCCAGTGCCAAGCTCATGCATTTTTATTTTCAAGATTGAGAAAACAGAACAGGAATGCCCATAAAAAAAAAAAATTCTCTTAAGGAATCAAAATTACTTTTCTAGTTCAAGAAGCCCTTAGAAGTTCTCCAGTTGGCCTCTGTATAGGAAGGTTTCTGACCCCAACAAAAGATTCATATGAGGCTTTTCTGCAACTGTCACTTCCATATTTCATTAGGGCTACCTCCCCCCAACCCTTCCTCTACCTCTCTACCTTCCTAATCACTGACTCTTGCCTTGGTCTTTTTCATGATTTCTCTACCACTGTTCAACATTTAAATAAAATCACATTAATCATTTAAATGAATGCACATTGAGTCTTTAAATGATATAAAAGGTACCCATTAGTGTGAATATAAGAAGTTATGGATCTTAGGACCATATGAAAAATGCATCTATTCTGTAGCTTGAAATGAAAATATTATCACAAGATAGGTCAAACAGACTATACAGTTGCTGATATCGTATAGATATTCAATCCTTACCTGATCAACTGCATGATGACAAACAAATCAAAAGAGAAAGTCCTCAGAGTATGAATCATCTGTCTCCACGCTACTGTGACAGCTTTACAGCTTGGGGCTAGCTTCTTTGCTTACACACATTTGACTGACTATCCTTTGCAAGGGATGCTAGGGTTAATTTGTAACCCTGGCCACCTCCTCCTCTTTTCAAACAGCTGTTTGGCAGCTCACACAGCAGGGGAAGTCCATTTTACCCTTTCAAGCACAGCCTACCCTAAGTCTCCAAACCAGGCTCCCCTTACGAAGAGGTCCCTGATCTGAAAGACTGATCACGTTCTGGACCTGAAGGAAAGTATACAGCTTCCTGCTTCAACTCTGAGGGACTAGGAAAACAGCCATCGAAGACTTGGACTCTCTTCCACTGTTTGGCTACAGCCGCTGCAGCTGCAGAAACAGTATCCCAGCGGTGCCACCCCTTCCCTGGTGGTCACCTCTGGAGCAGAGAGCTCAGAAATGGGTCTTTTTTCCTCCCACTCCCCACCTCCAGGAAAAGGGATGAGCAAAATAAAAGCGAGAACTTTACAGTGGCTTTAACATAAGCGTGTAGCTCGTAAGCCTCGGACTGCGGATAACATTGCATTCCAAGCCCTGTCTCCAAGTTGAAACCCAACTCACTTCACCCTGCCGCCCTCCGGATTCTGTGAGTTACTGAAGGAAGGAGAGGAAGGAGTGATGATTAGGAATACTTAAACACTGATCTAAAAAAGTCCTTCAGCTATCCTAAGCCCTACTAAACAGGCAGATAACGACAGCGATCAGGGTTTTTAAAAACAGGCATCCTGGGGAAGCTTCGCACGCTGTGTTTAGCTTTAGCTCATGAAAATAATAAAGAAATTCCAAGGCAGAAAGGTGTTAAGAGATTACAGAAAAAGCAAGTCTCTCGTTCCCGCAGAAGAGGTTTAGGAGCCCAGGAAAACTGGACACCCAGCGTTGTGGAAGGTTGAAAAACCCTTTGAGCCCACTCTCCAGGGCTGCAAATGTCCACCGCGCCTTAGGGCTGAGAGCGTAGCTTGCGCCAGCAGGTCAGGGACTCCATCCCCACCCTCCCTCTCCTGCACCAGCATTGAGCCCTGGTCCAGCCAGGCAACCAGGCGCTTTGCCCTCCACGTTCCCAGAACCCAGGAGGCTTAGATGTAGCTAAGAGCCGCCGCTAAATCTCAGACACAGTAGCCTGTTGCTAGCCCTCTGGTTAAAGCATTCTTGGTTACAAGAGCCCTTCTCTCCTGTCAATGTTCCCCATAGAAGGCTGAGTCCAGGGTTCTAACACAGCAAAACGCACTTACCTAGACAGCGAATGTCTGAGCCTCACTGTGCCACACTGATTAAGCAGAAAAAAAGGTCTGACTGCACTGAAAGTTTTCTCCTTTCTCTCTTTCTCTCTCCCTCCACCCTTGCGCAACAGCAGTAGTCCTCTAGAGAGGATATTTGAATTGGCGAATTACACCAAAGCCTTGTTTCTTCAAATGAAGTCACGGACGCTAATGGCCCTGGCTTGTCGGAGAGGACGGACCGAACTGGCAAAGACACCAGGTAGAAACTAGCGCTGGGAAAGGGACGCCAAGAGGTGCAGATCACTGTGTCAGCCCCAACCCCTCTCCCACTCGCTGGGAAGCAAGGGGGAAAGCCCTGGAATCTGAGAGGGGGGAGGGGGATGTGGCGATACTGCAGCTGGAGTACTTTTATGTCTGGAAGCTTTAAAGGCTTTTGAATTAAAAAGAAAGAAATCATTGCCTAGAATGTCGCGTCAGCCATCAATGACTGGAATAGTTCTTTCCCAGAAATTAAAAAGAACACCACCAGCCCCCAAAACAAAACCACCAAAATAACTTAAGAAGGAGAGGCTTGAACAATAGATCCTTACCCTCTCCACCCCCTTAAAGGGGGTTATTAGGGAAACTTGTCCTCATTGGGGGTGAGGGGCAATCACAGGAAAACCCTCAGGGTGCTTACAGATTACTGACACATGCAGGTTTGTGTTTGATAAATACCAAACTCTTGGCCAATGTGAAGTAAAAGTCAACACGTAAATGTTCCTCAGTGCAAGTAGCGGGATGAGAAGTGATTATCAGTTAAAGCCCATAGAAATGTTCATAAAAGCACAACGCAGGGACCATATTAACATACTTATTAAAAACTGAGGGCAGGGATGGGCACGTGTGAAGAGTGAGGCAATTACATTTTTCATGTAATGTCCCTCCCTGAATTTCAATATATTAAAACCCAGATAATCAGTGGCTTCTGATGGATCTCTTCATCTGAAAGGAGACCTCTTTGACCAGTTAACTGCTCCCTAACATAACTCACACAACCTAAATGCATTGCAAAATGCTGCCTAGTCAGGAGACACAATGACCAAAATAATGTGCCCATGTACGTTTAGGATACTGAATAAAAGAATGATGCCCTCAAAAACAGGACTCCTTTTCTTGCCATGGAGTGACACATTAGTATTTAGGAACTTACTAAATCAATAGACACACTTTGCCAGTGCCCCCTCAACCATTCAGTTCTTTAGAAAGAGATGAGCACACACCAACCCGGACAACCTTCTGAACATCAGAGAAACTAGTGAACTTTCTCGAACCCAGAAATTGTCACCTGTCCTCTAGGCATTTTCATAGAGTAACAGAAAAATTACCTTTTCAAATGGCACAATGCTGTGTTCCAAGAGGGGTGCATTGTAGGGAGGTGATGTCCACGTTACCTGACAGAAACTGATAATATAAATTCTTTTCTATTTGAAGAAAGAAGGAGATATTGGGTTGCCTCTTTGCACGGACTATATCTTACTAGTTTCAACTACATAGGTAGTTGAAATCTGAAATTAAATATGCAAAGACACGAAGAAAGACTGACACAGAGAGCAGATTGAAGAAAAAGTAGTGCTTATTTTAAAAAATACAAGTAGTAAGTTACTCATCATTCATAAATAAATACTTACCAGAGGAAATTTAATGAAGCGAGATGACTGTGAGAGAAATACATCCAGGATTCAAGGAGATAGATATTCCATGGTCTTCCACAGCAGTGTAGATTTGTGAGCTGCAGGGCAATAGCGCTTGAAAATACTCAGCAGTTCCTGGTGGCATCTAACCAAGTGAAAGACAGTTATTGGAGGGGCGTCCAAGAACCCAAAAGTAAAAGAGGCGAAATGTGAAAGAAGTGCTTTTTACTGATGATGGGTAGCTGCAGGGACTTTTTCTGTGATGATTCTCCGGTGAACAAATTTACCGAAGTGCATGCCCCCACACTGTGAGGAGAGACAAAAGCTGGGTAACCCAGAGAACAGGATGTGTATCATAGACAGTTCTGCAAAGAGAAGTAAAAGGATGTCTTCAAGACAGGGAGTAGACAACTAGAGGGCTAGGCTGTAGTCATCATCCTCAGAGAGCAGCAGCAATGATTTAGGCTGCTGGGGAAGATCCAATGAGAATTCAGGAGAGCACCGCTTCGGAAATCCTGCAGGATCTTCCCCCCTCGCGTTTCTTTTCAGAGTTTACCTGAGCTGGAAACATTATCATTAGGATTAATAGTATTCCATCAGTGCATTTCACTAGCAGTTCCGTGAAACCCTTTCTCTTGCAGAAACGGACAGAGGCTTACTAAGAAAGCCTGACATAACACACACCCCAAATAAACCAGCAGGACCGGTCCCACCGCGTTGAAAATATAGCCAGCGATTTTTGCCTTGACAGGGGCTGGGAGAGGAATGGTGGAAGGTCCTAGTAACACGGAGTTTTCCAGGGCGCTATGCTTTGGAGGGTTAGCAAGGGGACGCAGAAGTGGGTGATGGGATGCCAAAGGCGGCAGCAGCCCTTCTAGGTCCCACTTCCTTGTGAAATCATGCTGCCTCTGTTTAAGGCTATTGCTTTCAGTCCTGAGTCCCCAGCGCCAAAACCTTACACTATTGCTAGATTTTATGGCGGTCCCTGGTCCCTTGGGGGAGGGGTCGTACGGGTGCAAGATTGACTGCCTGTGCTCTGTTTGCCTTGCATTTGATTCCTGCAGTTACAGAGCTAAAGTAGAGAAATAGCTTTGCTGTGGATTGCATTGTCGTGCCATTTTCGTATCAGGATACCGATACCGCATAAACTGATCACCTGATCACCGGATCGATTGGGTAAGATTAGCCCGATCTTTTCTCCCTTTTCCTGTCTGTGACCCCCTTCGCCCCCACCCTGATCTCTCCGGAAACCTACTCCTCTACCTTTCTTTCCTTGCTTCCTGCCTTGCTTCTGCCTTCTTCTTTTTTCCCTCTTTTCTCTCGGAAACCTATTGCCACTGGGAAACTGATTGAGAGGCTGGATAACACTGTAACTGTTTTATTTATTTACTTATTTATTTATTGTTACTTATGCATTTATATTACCATGGAATGAACATCACCTCAGTGCTCAAAAGCTTTTCTTTGGGAAGATTCTGAGTACCCATCTTTAGAGGGTCTCTGAATGATCCAGAAGATGTGGAGAGAGTGCAGTCAGGTAGGGGAGTTATTAGCCTTGGACTCCAGCTCAGTCTTGCTGAAGCTTACAAATTATGCATCTGTCTGTCTTAGAAATAGGAAGAGATGTTAACCTGGAAATAGATTTATTTGTTGCAGAAACTGAGTTGTTGAATGATAGAAAGGCTAAGCATTTGCCAGGGATAAAAATGTTCTTGGTAAGTAATCTTATTTTCTGTGGTTGAAAAGGCAACACATTGCTTCTCAGTGACCCATCCCCCACTCCATTCATTTATTTCCTCTCTGTATGTAAATCACGGAGGAGCTGGGTCAGTGGAAATTTTCTTTTCCTCTTTCCTGGGAGGGTAGAAGCCCTCAACTGTGAATTGGAAGTGGGGAGGGAACTCTGGAAACAATATCAACACCTTAAGGTATAAAAACACTCACAGGTAAAGTAACTTTTGCTGTCTTGAGGTGTATGTAGGGATCCCATTGCTTTTAACTCTTTCTTTTCTGAAAACAAAGTGACTTTGAGGCTAGCAGCCCATGTGTATACTATGAGAACGCTCTAGCTATGTTTTAAAACTAATACTCTTTCTTACTAACTCCATCTTACTAACAATGATTCTCTTTTCACATTTAGTAAGTGAGCATCTTAGTTCCAATTCCTGTATCTGATGCCAATGATTATTATCCCAAGTGAATTTCTGCTGGTCATGATAAAGCCACGGGGCTTGCCAAGAGTCTAGAGAACTGGCCTGTTCGTGCTGATCTTGAAGAGAGGGCATGCCCAAACTTGTGAAGAAGCTGGACAGCTCTTGATGGTTCTGCTATTCTATTATGCTAAACATGAAGAAACACAAGTCTTGAAATTTGTGTCAATTTGGATTCCAAGTGCACACTGACTATTAGGGTTCAAAAGGTCCCAAAAGGCTATCAAATAAGAATGCATTGCAATTTTGAATTACAAAATACATTTCATTGGCAAAATATTTATATTAATGTTTTCCTCTGTTGGTATACTGGTATAACACCTTATCTCCAAACTTCACTAGTAAAAGATAAGCTACTTGGTGAAAATATATTTTGGGCTTTGCCAAAAAGAGGACTTAAGCCTCAGCAGAAAAGTACACTAGAAGTCCATTGCTTAAAAACAAATTTCCTTTCTGATAATCAACACTGTAGAAATCAATACTGTAACACAGAGAAAGATAGCTATGTGTCATACAACAGAAGCAAATCATAATATGTTTGTGCTCAAGGACCTCTAGTGTTTATTATAATCAAGACTGTCAAAGGCAAAAATTTAGTGGATTTTCTGACATAACTTTCTCTTTTTAGGAAGCAAACTGTCCTGAGAGCTGTGAGAGAGTAGATGTTTTCCTTTGGTGTCTCATTTTCCAATGAGATGATAGATGGTTTGGGTGTGCCTCTGTGTTTGTTACAGAGGCTATAAAATTCTGCTAAGAGGTCTTGACTCCACAGAAAAAGCACCAACATCTTTTTTCCCATTTATTTGTTTGTTTGTTTATTTATTTCAATTTATTCAGTTTATATCCCTGCTGTAGCTCCTGTCCTCATCTCCTCCCAGTCCCACCCAACATTCCTCTTATCCCCCTACACCCCTTCCTTAATCCACTGATAGGGCAAGACCTGCTCCACATCTATTTGACCTTAGCCTATCAGGTCTCATCAAGTCTGGCTGCATCATCTTCTGTAACTTCCCAGGGGGAGGTGATCAAAGAGCCTGCCACTGAGTTCATGTCAGAAACAGCCCGTGTCCCCTTTAATAGGTAACCCACTTGGAAAATGAGCAATCTATGGACTTCCTATGAGCAGGTGGCCCAGGTCCTGTTCATGTCCTGTCTTTGGTTGGAGTATCTTCAGGGCCCCTGGCCACAGATATTTTGGCACTGTTGAACTCCTTGTGGAATTCCTGTCCCCTCCAGCTCTTTATCTTCCTCTTGTGTCTTGAGATATGTTCATTACCTATACAGCTTAACAACCGTGGCATGTAAAGACCATACTTTCTTTCTCTGAGGACCATAGAATGTTACTCAAAGGCATTCACCTTACTGACCATATTAGAGAAATATGCTGTTTATGGAGGACCCAATGTGACTTACATTGGTCAATTGAAACAAATTTTGTTTTATAGCCATCCACAGTGATAAACACTTGTATTCTGTAATTGCACCAGGCTAGAACTGAGGCAGAAGAACTATAAGATCAAGGCCAGCCTAGCCTGTGCAACAACACTTCAACTTAACAAACCAACAGTGTGTGTGTGTGTGTGTGTGTGTGTGTGTGTGTGTGTGTGTGTGCACGTGCGCGCACGCGTGCACACAAGCTCTTGTGCATGGTCCATATGAGAAGCCATTTCTTTCTTTCAGCATATGGATTTCCAGGATTGACCTCAGCTTTTGAGCTTGGTGGCAAGTATTCACTCTACTAAACTGTCTCACCCGTCCCCTCAAAATGAATATATTCTTAAGGAAATCATCTTGCAATTTGCTTGTAATGAAAAATATCCATATGCTTTAGGTTACTTTTAACATTAAATTTAATTTATAATAAAAATATAAATATATGAGCCCATTAAGGAAGAGTGTGTATATATATATGTTCTTGCTTATGAAAAATACATTTTTGACACAAATTTATGCATGCATATTTGTACTCATTAAGGTATTGAAAATTATTCACTTTAGTCTCCTTGTTGTGCTCATTTTGTCTTCAGAGCTTTCCTGTTAAAAGTGTCCAAAGTTTCTTTAGTACCTCTGTGTATAGAATTCTCCACATTAAATTTTATAAGATCAATATGTTGTGAATTAACTGATTCAGTGCATTTCAAGTAAAAAATGTCTTGGAACTAGCTGGGTTATAGAGATAATTTAGTTTGTCCTCTCATACTCATGAAGAAATTGAGAACTGCAAGGTGACATAGTTATTATCAGCATATGACAACTAGTTATCTAAGGGATTTGAAATGATCTTTTCTAGGCTTTCAGCTAGTGACTTCTGTACCAGTGAAATCCTTTAGTAGTTTTTACAGCACATATCATTTCAGATTAAGATAGAGAGTATGTGGAAGGTTGAGAACACACTACAAAGACTAATAAGTTGCAGCCAGCTATGTCAGAACTTTTAGGAAGCTACTAATTCAATTTCTGTTCCAACTTACCCGATAGACACTTCTCCACACCCTACACAATGAGAAAATATTTAATAGCATAACGCTGATTTATCACGAGTGCCTTTTTTTTCTATCTGTACATGTCTTGTATTGTGTTTAGACTATTTTCCCCTCACACTATAATCTCTGGAAAGTCTAACTACCTGAAATATAATACTCTTATGTCACATCTGATTTGTTTCTTAAACTTCTAATCTACGTAGAAAATGGGACTATTGTAAAGAGAACCACAATCTAATAATCCTCATATAAAAGATTTGTTCCGAATTTCTTATTACGGAAACATGCAGAAAAAATACATCCTGTTAAAATAATACAAAAATCCAATTTATGATGAAGTAACAAAACCTTAGTCATGTAAATATGCTCAATTTTCTGAAAAGCAGAAATCCATAAAATTACTTCAAGCTTTCATATATGTCAACCTTTGAGCATTTTATGCAAGTATTTGTTTTTTGTTTGTTTATACAGCAAACCTAAAGTGAATGTGAGCATCAAAATCTATTTGATAAATGTTCTTTATGAATTATATAGAAATAACAACAAAACTGACAAAAATAAACTCTAAAAATTTTTAAACGCTCATGCAATTCCCTTACCAAATTAAAATATTTAAGCTGAAAGCATTATTTATGACTTATGGAAATGTTGCTAGAAACATTTGTTGAGTAGAGTTTGTATTACTGTA